AAATTCACTATTCATTCTTTGCTTGTTCAATGAGCGTTCATAATTAGGTTTGTTGGCACTTATTGTTCTCTCCTAACTATATAAACTACTCCTTCCAGTGGGTCCCACCGCTCATAATAGGGCCAACGGGCTTCCTAAAGCTTCAAATTACTTTCTTATCCTCTTGCCTACCAATTGAATTACCAAATTATCCCAACCCTATTAGAGCACATATAAATTACCAAATATTTTTTTATCTTGATCAAGTCTCGATGAATAATCTCATAGAATTTTATCTACAAAAAAAATTTACATTACTACAATCATCCTATTAGACAATAATCTCATTTAAAATATTAAACTAATCGATGACTATATTTTATTTTCCGTAGGGCTTTACAAATGAAGAGAGCCCTTTTGGAAATTATCGACTGTTGGGACGAACCCAGGCCGAAGTGGAGATTTGGAAATAGTTTTCAGCTAGCAACGAACGAGACTCGGTTAGAAACTCACTAGTCACGTCATTGCCCTCGAGCGCAAAGATATTTCGAAATATATATTTATATATCATAAGAGAAATTATATAAATACCTGTCAAAGTTTGTAAATTGTGCTCAATTTCACGGCAAGCCATGACAGCCTCAACAGCATGGATTCTAACATGTTGCTGCAGCTCTTCTCTGAATGAACACAATACTAAAAAGTACTGTGTCTGAATCAGACATAAATTTACACAGCATTAAATTCATACATTAATTTAACATAAATCAAACAGAAAACCCATGATTATGATATAAATTAAAAATGAAATTGTAACCCTAAATTCATACTTCCATAAAATATATTTTCTTAAAACTAGTGTCGTGTTTCTTAGTAAAATCCAGCCCGTGATTAGAAACAATTCAAAATGAAGAATTTATAAAAATAAAATTAAAAAAATAAAGAATTTGAAGAAAAACCTACCAAGAAATTGTCAAGTTCTTGCCTTTGATGTATAGATAGAGACTGAGATATGTTATAATGAGCATAAGATCTCAAGAGATTCTGAGATTGGGAGAGTTGAGAATCAATAAGTGGCAGTTGATCAATCGGTGTCGCCACCCGTAAACACGCTACATGGGCGGAGAGCAGCTGCTCGTACAGCGGATGGGTGGCGATCTCGGCCTTGAGCTGGTGGTTCTGCTCTCCGGCGCCTCCACCACCAGAATCCCTGATGCTTATGCCTTGATCTTGCATATTTTTATTTTCTTAGCACCAAAACAAACTGCTTTGACTATTCACCTTTTGCTTTAAACAATAGTACAGTAAAGTGGGGTTCAACCTATATATGTAGAGATAGAGAGATTATATATTGGGATCTGAAAGACATAACTTTCTGTACATTAGCTGCAGAATTACAGCGATTAACATACAGAGAAAAAGAGAAAGGCTAGAGATTTGATTTTCTTCCTTTACTTTGACTACTTCAAAGTACACAGAGGGAGGGAGAAAAGGAGCTATAGAATCATTGCCAAAAGAGGGACAAAGAGAAGAGAGAGATACATACATACATATAGATCTTTAGAGAGAGAGAGGATCCATGGCCAGACATTTCAAGATTTTATTTTATTTTTGGGAATTTTTTTGGTTTATTAATTTTCTATTGTGATTGTTTGATTATTAGACTTTTAAAATGAATCCAAATGTGTAATCATAGTTTTGGCCTTTTGGGTAGTATTAGGTGACATATATTATTAAGAAAAATAAACTTCATTGATTTGTTTTTAATAAATGGTGAGTGCATAGTTGATTTGTACCTTGCCTTGTTGAGAATTATTATTTTTAATATTAGGTATGGATATCCTTAGCGTGTTATTCATTAGGAAATGGATATTTTGTGGATATTGATTCTAGACAACTGTCAAGAAAGGCGAACTAGGTTCAGCCTTTATCATACGTGTACATTTGGTTCCTGAGAACACACATGTTCGATCTACGCTTAAGACCAATTACCTCGAAAACCTCGACGGCTTTGGAAGCTTTAAGGCAAGCATTGGACAAGTAGAGATCGAGTGATCCGACTTAGGTCCTTGATGGCCGGAGTGATCGCATTGATCGGTGCTCCTCCAACTAGGGTTTGTTATCACTACCTAATAATTTTTATTATAGTTCTCAAACAAATACATAATTGTCAATTGATTGAAATGAAGAAAAATAATTCTCTATAAACAATTTCTTTTGAGTGTATAATCTTTTTGTATATTTAATTTGTTGTTGTTATAATTCAATTATTACAAGCACATTTCCCCATTTCTAAGTATTTTTTTAGTTTAAGAAAATTGGTAGGTGTTAAGCTGTCACTATTATGCTACCTTTGTTTTCTTTTCAGCCTTTTTTTCTAAGTTTCACCAAAACAAGGAGAATAGCACTGTGTTTGTTAGTCAACCGATGACTACCTACCGGCTACCATATACATATATGATTATTGTTAAGATTAATGAGCATTTTTGTGATGGGTTATGCTTAAAAATAAGCATTAAACGCATTAATTTGGGCCTACATACATTAAAATAAGTTAAAATGAGATTATTTTTAACATAAGCCACCCAAACATGCTAAAATGAGCAGAGTCAGGACTCGGATCTAATGGCGGTGTTGAATCACCAAAAAAAATATACATACATACATACATATATTGTAATATGCTTGGAATTAATGGTTCCATTTATAAAATTCCATTTGTTTCTTGATTTCATTCGATTATCTTGAGAATCGGACGTTGCCTGTCCTTAATTAGCTATATATCTAGTTAAGCAATGGTTAGTTACTTGCCATTTAGAATGGTCAGACACGACATATATCAAAAGAATAATGTTATTTATCTTCATTAAAAAATAATCACCAATTTAAGTTGCACGTGATACGCTATGACTGCAAGACTATTCCTCGAAGGTGATAAATAAATACCTATGTTATAATAGGGTCACTTTAAAAAAATAATCAATGAATAAAAAATGCATTTTAATTTTGAATTTATCTACTTGTACATTATGGATGCCTATATGGATGCCATATAGGCATCCATAATGCACAAGTGGAGGCGCGTCAGCCAAGGCCCCAATGAGGGGCCTCCACTTGTGTATTATGGATGCCTTTATGACATCCATAATGTACAGGTAGCACCTCTCTTTAATTTTATTGGACAACGTGATAATGACCTTACTGTCACATAAATCGTATCTAATGAATATCGTTATAAGAAAAAATAAATAAAGAATAAGAGTAGTAAACATTTTCTTAGTATTTTTTAATGTAGGAACGTTGTTGCGTGTGAACCAAGTAAGAATATTTTCTGTTGAGATGGTAAGATAGCGACCAAAAGTTTGATAATGTTAAAAGTATAGTGGTAATTATTTCAAAATCATCATTAAGTAATCTTATAATGTACAAGTAGCACCTCTCTTTAATTTTATTGGACAACGTGATAATGACCTTACTGTGACATAAATCGTATCTAATGAATATCGTTATAAGAAAAAATAAATAAAGAATAAGAGTAGTAAACATTTTCTTAGTATTTTTGCATTGTTTTTTAATGTAGGAACGTTGTTGCGTGTGAACCAAGTAAGAATATTTTCTGTTGAGATGGTAAGATAGCGACCAAAAGTTTGATAATGTTAAAAGTATAGTGGTAATTATTTCAAAATCATCATTAAGTAATCTTCTGACGATAGGAAGTTAAAACTCATTGTAAATATGTTCACACTCATTTGATGACTTTCACAATTAGGATCTCGATCATGACTGGATATCTAAGGACTTCAAACATGATACTTCATCATTTTCTCATATCTCGAGCACAAATCTTGACGTTCATAGCAGTTGAATTGAAAAGGGTCGCTTCTTACTATGGAACTAATCTCGTTGTTTACTTAATTATATCTTGCATCAGTAAAAGTCTTGTCTATTGTGTTATGTATAATGAATAAGACAAATTATTTATAGATTTCTCTAAAGGAGACGTAACTTTTCGAATATGTCTTTCGAATTTTCAACGTATATGGCGTTTTTTGGTGGTTGTTATTCTTCTTTAAAACCATCTCGATCGTTGGTGTGAGCAAAAGACACGAAATGAATGAAACTTGTTCTATAAAAATTCTCACTCTTAAAAAGAGTATCTTTTAACAATATCCACTTAATTTAAAGTAAACAATGAAAGGACTCAAGAAATAATTCCTAAATTTTGAGCTACTAAGATATTTTGTAACATAATTGTGATGTAGTGTAGGGTCATTGTCAGGGCATCAAGGGTTATAATTTTAAGGACGAAACAAGAGATAGAGTGGTCCCAAATTGTATACTAGAAAAAAGAGAGCTTTAATGAGAAAAAATTCATAGAAAGTTAAAGTTTGTGAGAATTGTCATTTTCATCATTCACTACCCTTTATTTTATTTTTTTTGGCTCTCTCCTAGATGTAGACACCACAAAAAATAAACAATTATTGAAACGTCTTGGTAAATTTCATAGTCGCCACTTCATTGAAATTATCTCGAAGGACCATCAATAGAAACGTGCATGTTAGAAAATATGTCGAAAAAAGATAAGCTAATCTTTTTCTTTACTATCATATATTATGTCGAGTCATATTTAGTAATGCATATGTTGGTGTTACACCTTCAGAGAAGAGCAGTCTAGTTCTCCATGAGAAGTCGACAAGAATGAAGCTCACCCCCTCGACGTCTTGCATCACCCACTACATGTATAGAACGCGTTATCCAAAAATTTTAGTTCTCATCCTCAACAAGCTTTCACTAGTGCAAGTATTATATATACAGCTAAATGACTGAAATGAGAAAAGATCAAAAAATGAAAAGAAAGTGGTCTATACTGTAGTCCAAAGCTGAAATTTTGTTAATATGTACAGCAAGCTGGATGAGAGTATTACTCGAATGGAAATTAGAATACATAATAGGGTAAAAACGGCTTCAAAAACCGTTAAAACATTTACAGAATTTTCCTTTTACAGAGCCCAGCAGAGTAATCACATCACATTACACTTGTCTTTCGATGGTTTAGTGTCCTGTTTTGAAGACGAAGATGTATATTTGCTGCTACTTGGAACCTGCAAAAAACATTGGAAGAAATTCAAGATTGCGCCAAATGGTATGCCCATGTTCTTCGCCTAGTTTAGCAAGTGACAAAACCCATTCGCCAAATACCTCACAGGACAATATAACAAACAGATTCTTCCTCTCCTTATTATAGCTCAACTTAATCCTTACACCATGTATGGTCAGCAATATAGGAAGGGACTGGACATTAATACGAACAAGATTTTAGCTTCATTTTCCTATTTAATAGTGTCCAATCATGTCGACTAGTGTGTACCAAATGTGCTTATTTGCCACTATACCTTGACTGTCAAATCCAAACAAAAAATTGTAACACAGCAAAAAACAGACACGAAACCTACCGGGGGACCAGTAATCAGCTTTGAAGCAGCACTGATGGCCGGTTGCTGCGAATTACGCTGCGGAAGCTGTTGCTGCAAACTACGTTGTGGTTGCTGTTGCTCAAATTCCTGTTGTTGAAGAGCTATTGCTAACTGCAAATCAGAACTGCCAAAAAACAGCATCAAAGTTACTCAGACGATGTTGCTCTACATAAATTGTCAAATAGTACAAGTAAAACATATTACACTGAAAATAGAAGTTGAAATGAAATTCCTTCAGAGGAGGTTACTCTGAAGTAAATCTTTGTAACAAAGACAATCAACATTGAGTGAACAAGATGTTGCAAACAACAAATAAAATAGACCTCAATGAAACGCAGGCATTCCTAAACAATTATTTCCTTTCCAAGAAAAGTAAAAATATTTTATTTATGTCAATGAAGTTAAAGTAGCTCATAGATTCATTCGTAATTGCAATCAAAATAATACTAAAAAAGGATTATAATAAAAAGAGAATAGTTGTGACAACAAATTTAATAAACCAGCTATCTGAAATTGGATCCAGTAATGAAGACAATGGAACGGACACAAAGAGGAGGAAGAAGAGGAAGAAGAAATAATCATCAGAATGAAATTTTGCTGTGTTATTATCTAAATATTAGACAATGATGAATCAATCAGGCTCCAGAGGAATTAAGCAATTACTTGAAAGTCAAATTCTCTTGAGAACCACCATCAATGCTAGCCAAATAGTCCTGCAAAACAAAATTTAGTTAGTTATATTTCTTGTTTCAAAATCCCAACATATTTGGAGTCTTTAGAAGCTACATACCGCAGTACTATCAATAGCATTCTGTTCATGCCATGTGCTGTTGGAATGATCTTCCACTTTGAATTCCTTAAAGTTTCCCGTCATATACAACGTGTCCCCATTCACCTAACCATCAAATCAAACTCAACGACATGAAGTTATAAAATATTATTTTGTAAGGAATATTTAAGTGATCTCTTTCCCAAAAAAACACAAATTCAAGGGAAAAGGAGATAAACACACTAAAAATTCACTATTATTATTTTTAGGAGCCCCAGTATGTATAATTATGTTGTAGAACTTTCTCATGATACAAAGCATGTAGGAAAATATTAGAAAGATTTCACTTCTTAAGGAAGGGAACATAACAGCACCTTGTTAGATGGCTCTGGATTTATATATGGCAAAACAAAGGAACTGTTATTTCCAATATCAAAACAAGTAGTGCTTTCTAATTCCCTTTCATATTAGAAGGTGGCCTTAGATCTTTATTATACTGAACTAGAATTTATTAAAACCAAATATTAAATTAGGCCTTCTGATCAATTGGATATGGGAAGATTTCAGTGGAAGTTACCCAACTTAGAGGTTTGTTCATTTGGGTCACCCACCTTTAATTTGTTTCAATTTCATCGCCAAGTTATATTTGGTCCACTTTGACCACTCGATCCCAAGTGGCAGACGAAATCTATACACACGGACCATTGCTCTGCCAGTTCATCAAACTTGCCTTTTAAAACTTAAAAGTTTCATTTCTATGTAGCCAGATCTAAACACATGGACTATTGCTCTATCAGAATGTCAGTTCATTGAATTTAATTTTTAAAACTAAAGGCCACATTTTTACTAACAAGATTGTATGGATCAAATATTTATTCCAACTGAAACTAAGAAAAATGTAAAAACAAACGAAATATAGTGCTTCCATGCTACAATCTTACCTCATTCAGCTTTTCCCAGACCAGATCAGGCTGATTTATATATCCTTGATCAGTAGCTAGGATATATAATTCATCTTCATACTGCAAATAAAATATTGGACAGTGAATAAATAAATTGATGTCAAGAAGCATAACAAGCACACTTGATAATCTAATGATTGATAATATTACTACTGATAATTTATAAAATTACACCAGGAAAAATTTTCATTGCAAAATAACCAAAAAATTTCTATTAAAGTTTTTGAACTAAATCTTTGGGATGTTATTTAAGGAGTTACAAGTAAACAGGTCACTTGATAAAACTTTAAAGAGAAAAATGAAAATGAAATTGTGATTACATGACTTCGTATCCCTTCTAGTCCAAGGCTACTATTGGTTCAGTACCATTGTCAATTGTTGCTAAGTCGAGGACCAGCTTCATGTGTGGCTTTAGAATAACATCTATATTAGGTCCTCCTCCTATAATAAAAGTTCGATAATTTGTGAAATTCTATGTGCATGTGCTTGTTGGGACTGCATTTTATTCCTGAAAAAATTGTATTTTAGGTCCCCCTTCTCATCCTTACATGACCAAAATGATACTCCAGTTCAAGTCAGTGTGTCTTTATGCAACATGACATATAAACACGAGAAATTTCTTAATAAAAGAAAGAGAAGAAAAGGTAATCAATACTACATCAAATTAGTGATATTTATTTATCCCCTGAGGTTAATTATTACATATTACAGGTAGCAAACATCAAATGTCAGTCCTTCACAAATTTCAGGAACTTATTTAGTTCCCACCAGGGTAATTAGAAATGAGAAAACATGCATCGTTAACAAAGAGCTAGCTATCCAGGATGTGCACCGACCTTAAACATAGTATTGAAATGATTATTTCTGAAAAAAACACACAGCTCGCGTTCTTTCACTTTATCCTGTAAGCAAAATAAGCTGCAAAACAAACAAACAAATCAGAATCTCCTTTCGCTACATACTATATCTTCTTAAGCACACCATGTAGTAAAACCAATACCCATATATGGTCAACTGACTAGCACTGTTCCTCAGGAAGTTTCTTATCAATTCCCCTAAAATGAATCAAGAGAGAGAATAAGTATTTATATTTATACTGAAGAAGAAAAACATAAGCACAAAATCCTTTATCTCAAAAATAAATAAACAAATAGATAAAACAAGGAAGACAGTATCATTTCCCCATTGACATAAAACAATTAATCATCTAGCAATTTTATTTTCTCCATTTGTATGCAGCACTTTTACCTTGTTTTCGAGTCATTATATCCTTGCGAGTCTGGTCACCATCATTAATGCTGCTTTTATCCACTTGTCCTGCAAGAATTACTTCACCTTCATAGACAGGCTCCCGATTTTCATAAACTGTAGTTCCTGACTCCAATATGCACTCCTCTCCTTCATATATGGGTTCACTGCCAACACTCGAACTGAAGGTGTCAGGATCATCAGCCTTAGGAATTTTACCGCTTGATGGATTCAAATCCGCAGGCAGAGTTAACAAATCAGAAGAATCTCTTGTCTCACAACTATCATGATGATTTCTTGACACGTCTGAATCAGATGTGGAAGTAACTTCATTCTGAACATGTTCATCCCTCATGGGTTTATATACAACACTATCAATAGCAAATGCAGGTTCTTGCTCGGAAAACACAGGTTGAACATGTTCGTTCTCAACCTGCACATCAGAACCAGTTTTTTCAACCACATTTTTACAATTTTCTTTGGATTCTTCAGAGGTTGGTACGGCACAGTTGCTCTGCATTAGAGTAGCTTCCCCTGTAACTGCTTCAGTCAATTTTGCATCATTGTTCTGATAACTCAAAGCATTGCTATCAACACATTTCAACGTCCTATGCTCAAAAGTATTTGCAGTTTGATCAACAACCTTCTCTTCCGCTGTTTCTTGACAAACAACCAATTCGGGCTTTTTAATGCTTGCACTTTCGGTTAAACTCACCATCGAGTCCAATCCATCATTAAGCACATTGTCAGCTGAGGAATTAGGCTTTTCAGCCTCTGATAATTTCAAGGCTTTCAAAAGCTCAACTTCTTCTTCAACATCCCCTTTTCTTGCTCTAGAGTGAGGGGAGTCTGAACAGGCAGGATCATCAAAGGATCGACCTCTTGAAAGAGACGGCGATGGTACTCCCAAAGCTGCAGTTGTTGCAGCAACAAAATCAACAGAATCATCTACAAGATTCTGTTTATATTCACTCTTCATAGTTTGAGTTTCCAGGGAAACAAGCTCCCCCATGAGAGTATTATATGATTTTGACCCAATCACATCCGCAGTTTCATAATCCTGGTAAGCATGCATGAAATGATAAGTACATAAAGAAAATGTGCAAGTCAACATGCATTCTGCAGACACAGAAAGATATTTTAACACAACTTGTTTCGACAGGCGAGGTGGAAAAATTCATACCTGTGGATCAACTATCCATCCATGATAAAGTGGAATGTCCAATAGATCAAATATTGCACACTCCCGCGTGAACTCAAAATCATCAATTCTGTGAAAAAATAGATATCATTTCATCAAAAATCCAATTTATAGAGAGGTTCCCTACTTATTCATAATTATACTGCATGCCATAGAGATAAATCTTATGCATATATAAAAGGGCACTGTGCATCACGCAAGCAATATACCTCACTCGTAATCACTTAAACATTATTTCCAGTATAAAATTACGATAGTATAAAGAAAGAAAAAAAGATAATCTACCTTCTAAATTTTATATTTACATCAATGCCAGTAGTAAGTCTAGGAAGCAAATCAATTGCATCGGAGATATTCTGTTGCTGATTTTCAGCATATCCAGCATCTTTTTCCTGTAACCCAATTAAGTCAGTTAAAAATATAATGAAGATAAGCAAGGGAAATTACAATTCTCCATTACTAAAATTATTTTATGAACATGCTAAAAAGAAGCATAAACAAGATAGTGCAAAAGGCAGTTACATTGATGCTGCTGTTTGAATCAATTAACCTCTCAGCAATAAGCGAAAGCAATTTTTCCTGAGAAACCTCTGCAACGTCTGGACTCAAATTCAAGCTGTTCTTTAACAAAAGAATATTACCTATCACCAAACGCAACAAACGATGAGTAAACCAAAGAAAGAAGTCATTCGAACACAATAAAAATAACATCGTAGATATGATCAGACCATAAAATTTCCACATTTTTTTACACCAAAATATTTGGCCATGTGAAATACAAACTTTTGAAACAATTGCCAATCACTGGGCAAGCAATATTTCTCTAATTTGAGAAAGGAGAAAAATCAAAACATAACCACTAAATAAAACATTTTAAATAAACCGCATGAACACAACTCAACCCAAACCCCCTTTTCTATGGACAGGTTAAACAAATCATGTACAATGACCCGTGACCACAGTGCAAGGATAGGATTAAAAAAATATACCTGAACAGAAAAAGAGTAATAACTAAAGTTAAAATCGTGCTCAGATATAAGTTAGAATTAGAACATCAAAACTTAAAACAAAAGTGAAGGACCACAAAACTCAATTTCTGACAACAGCAAATAGAATTTACAATGATTAGCGAACAATTAACATACTCTCCATCCGGAAAATAAAAATTCATTAAGCCCCTGTTCATTTTTAATCACACATTTCATTGGACCTCAACTTTTATCCAATTTTGAACCACACATTTCACAGGGTTCGCAGCTTATAATCTAAAAATGCTGAACCCAAAAGGGTAATTGAAATAGAACCAGATTGAGATAAAATGACCAATTTTTTTACCATGCGTTATACAATTCATAATTCCAATTCTAAAAATGCACATGCTTAATTGAAAATGATCTTCTTAAAAACTGAATTCAAAAGAGGCACAAAAAAGTGAACTCATAGTAGTTATAGATACATGATATATGTATGGAAAATACCCATGCTAGTAATCAATTGTCATGAATCATTTAAGTACGTGTTTATACTTCATTTTCATACATAAGATCTATTCCTCCTTTTCTTCTACTACCACATACAACATCAAATCAGTTCATACTCTCACGTATAAAAGAAATAAAATAAAAACTAAGTGAAAGTATAAATCCCCCGCAGAAGAAGGGAGCCGAAATGTAATAACTATCCAATTCAAGGCCAGATAATTTGCGAATAAATTAGCAAAATCCATCGTTTCAGCAGCAAAGTTGTTTTGTTTTCTTATTTCCAAATTGATCAAGTTATTAGAAGCGAGCATAAATAGGGGAAAAACATGTAGTATTTTTTTTGTATCTCAAACTAATCAAGTTACTTAATTATTTACAATTATTACAAGCAAACGTAAATATACCAATATATAATAAACGTATATACAGCTTGTAAAGCCCTAAAAGAGAGGGAAAATGAATTTACAGATAGCAAGGAGAGGACATGGCCCATTATCATTTTGTAGAACAATTGGCGTTGTCCGTCCCAAGAACTGTATCACTTTAGTCTTGTGCACCATCTCCTTTTCCCTTTCTTCTCGCTTCTGCTCCGCCGTTGAAACCAGTGGCGCGGCAGAACTCGGCGGCGATGAAGATGATTCGGAAGGCGGAGGAGGAGGAGAATCCATCAATTTACTTTGATTTCAAATTGATCGATCGAAAATTATACTGCTTATCACTCCAATTTCGTAAAATATTTGTAGAAAACACGCACGGGTGGACGAACCCGAACGCATGAGCTGTACAGCGAGAAAAAGCAATTTGTTTCTAGAGAGAGAGACAAAATTACCGACGGCAGTTTTTATCTGGGAATTTCATTTTTATATAAATTTTATTTAGGACATAATTTTTGAATTATGAAAATGGAATTAGGAATTTTACTGTGTTCAATTTAACGATTTAAATAATAAATTTTAAAAAATAAAATAATTTGATAATAAATTTAATTTGGTGCTATAAGTATTTTAAGTGAAGCATTGCTTTGAAATAAAGAGCCCTTTTGAGCCCCTTTTTGTTTTATGAAAATGTATTTTAAAATAGTATTTTGATGGAGAATAAGTAATTAAAAGTTAAGAAAAAATTTTGAATTTACGTATAATATTATTTTATTAAAAATAAGAAGGAGAAAAATGCATTTTAAAAATAATGAGAGTTAAACTATGGCAAAATATGATTTTTTTTTTTTTTTTAAATGAACAAAATTTGTGCGAGAAAATAAGAAAAAATCACGTCCTTCATTTTTTAAGATTATTCATCTAATTAAAGGTTGAAAAAATCACCTCCTTCATTTTTCATTCATATCTAGCCTTTTTTCTTTTTTGCTTATGTTTATAATACTCAAGTTACTTTTTATCAACATTTTTTCGAGAAATCCATCGGTAATGTCAATTTATCCACCACTTTTTTATTTATAATTTAAATAATTTATAAATACTTTCCAAACATGTTTTAAGATTTGTCAATACATGAAATAGTTTTTGTACGCTTACGAGTTGAACATCAATTAACATCGTAGGTGGTGAGGTACCATTTTAGTTGGGAGAATTGGGATTACCATCAATTAATAGTTTTTGTACGCTTACGAGTTGAACACTCACTATGATAGTGTCATCTTTGGACTTTGGAGAGTCTTTGAAATTCGATGATCACATATCATACCCACAGGAAGCACCACTCCGTTTGGATCCTTCATTTGTGCCATCAACCAATAAAGTTGGCTCGTGTGCTCCGTCAAGATTTTCATTCACCATCTCGCAACATCTTGATTCACTCAAACCTTGGTACCTAACTTTGAAGGATACATTGACGTCTAAGGTGGGACCCACAACCGCATCTTTGGCTTCCTTTGGTCCCACCATCTGGCCCCTTAATGCTCGATCATACTCGTTTACATCGCCAACTACCAGAGGGCCATATTGCAACATTGAAACCGTAAAGAAAGGCTTCTTCCCATCAACACCAATGCCACAGAAAACCCAAACAATGGATCCATCAATAGTTTTTGTAAGTGGTGAGGTACCATTTTAAATCCATTAACATCGTTTATGAATAACATTACTCTTTAAAAATTATTGCCAGATAAAGAATGATAAGTATTATGTAATTTCAAATTCATCTAATTGGCCGTATATGTTGGAATTTTATAAGAGATATTATATTTAATTAGTAATTATGACATTAAAGAGAACAACCAATCCAATGTTAAATAAAGTTGGTGTTGGTGTTGACAAAATTAACTTTATTATTTGAATATAGAATAAGAATAGATCCCTTCCATACAAAAACTTTTCACATTAAGGAAGCAAAATATATAGACCTTTAAGGGAGATTAACTACAAAATTAAGCCTGAAAAATTTACTTATCAAAATATTATCGCGAGTTCGATCGAAGTCAACTACAAAATACTACTCGAATTGAGTGGAGAATTAAAAAAATGTCAATTTACTTTAAAATGACTAGAGGATCTACAAAATATTCGTTTGTGGCCAAATATAGTGCTATATAAAATCTTCGTTTGGCAAAATTTATAAATCATTTATGAAAGGTCAAATTTTATTTTTAAACAACGCATTACAACGGATTCAATAATACTATTCACTTTTCCACTACTTATTTTTATTTATTCGTAAATTGAGTAATTTTATTTTTTTTTAACCGTAGGTGACTGATCTTAGTGACATTATCTCAATTTACATAAATTAAAGGGGGTGTGTTTTTTCTCTTTTACTTGACACATATCTACTCAATATTATATTAGTGAAAATATTAATTATAGTATAGACTTAATCCCTTAGCTTTGTTTGGGAAGAAATTTGGGCGATATCACCTCCTCCGGCAACATTCATTACGTACACGAGTAACCAGTAACCGTTCCCTTGGAAGTTGAAACGAAGCTCACATCTCTGAATGCATGGTCCTCCATAAGATTCAGAGTATCATTTCATATTTGATCTCTTTGAATTTCATGTTCGAAATTGCAATTGAATCGATTCACTAAAAAGCATCGATGGAAAAAGAACGTAAAGAACTGACACGAATAACGAACTTGAAATAGTATATGACAAGAGTCAAGACAACAAAACAAGTACAAGACAACAAAGAACCTACGGAACATGGTAGATACAATACCCGCCTTGCACTGTGCAATTTTCACGAACGTTGACTTGGACATATCAATGTGCATCCGTTATATAAGCATGTTCAGCACTAAAATATGTTTTTTGGATGTTGCTTAGTTAAGAAAAAAATTGGATTCTTAAACTTACATAACCATAATAACTCCTAATTATTCAAAAAATAAATATTATTTTATAGAAAACACCGGACAACCTTAGAAAATAAAAAAAGGATCATGTTAAAAATTGTTTAGAATAAATTGATTCGAGCAAATATTTGCCCATACTCTTTGAAGCAATTTCATCCCCGTGAAATGTAGTGTGAGCAAGCTTTCAAGCTGTAGGCCTGATCACGAGGCATAGTATCTTGCCATTGCTTTCCCGATCCTTACCAAAATCAAGAAGAAGAAGCTAAATCGCCACAAACTAAGCGAAGAAACCATGATTCTTCAACCTTAATTTCTTAAAATTGTTAACTCTTCTTGAGGAGAATGCAAAAATGCAATGCCAAATTGACTTGAAATTGTGTTATTTTATATTGTTTAGGATCCATAATTAGTGGTTACGCGACCCTCACCAAATAATGCACTTTTAAAAGTCAACACATGAATTTTAGAAGGTTGACTTAATTTGGAGGCCCATACACGTAGTCTAGTCCTAGGACGTGCTGCCAGGTTTATTTTCGGATATATTAATGTTGTTTTTGGCCATTCAATTCTGCGGTTGACGTGGATTAAAATTATATTTTTAGTAAACTTTGATAAAAAAAAAAAAAAAACATAATTATAGATATTTCAAAATACATTTTCACAAATAATAAATTTGTGAAAAAAATTTCAAAAATCAGAGGCTCACATTTTGTGAACTCTGATAATGTATTGTGACCTATATAATATAGTTAAACATGTTGCAATCACAATAATACATAATTTATTGGCACAATCATATACTATTCAATAATTAAAAAAGATCATAGTCACACAAATATAATTTGTGGGCCACAATCACGTATATAAGTCACGAATCACACATTTAGTATATTACAAATTTAGTGTGTGTTTGGTAGGGATTTTTTGGGGGAAGAATTGATTTTGAATAGTAATATGATGGGAAATGTGTGGTTGAAAAAGAAGATAAAATTATTGATGTGATAGAAAATATTATTTTATTGAAAAATGTGTGGTTGAAAATGAGAATTGATTTACTGTT